ATTGTAAGGTTTGGAAATAGATGCATGTATGTATATATATATATATTACCCTACCTAAGTAATACACTTATTATAGTACTAAAGCATATGGACTGTCCATTTGGGATTGAATCTGGTCCATATAGTCTTGTATAACCCCAATTAAGAAACTTATTCCTATATCTCGAGCATTCATATTAGTGGAGGTGAGGGGCATTGCAATTTGTCCTTGAAAAACAAAGCTTTTTAATAGTGCTTTACTATAGTGTTCAAGATTGTGCTTTTTGTTTTTATTTCTTCATTCTCTTTTAAATCTAGATCTATATTAGCTTTTTGCAAGATCTAAAATTTTAGCTATTGCTGTGCTTAGATTTGCTTTTTTTTATTTATCTTCATTGCATTCTTTTCTTATGCTATCATTGATCAAAGAGTATATCACTTAAGATTGCTAATACTATTTTGTTGGAGCGAACTTTTAGTGCTGTAGGGTGTGATTATATTAGTGTTACACCTATCCTTAGTGTGTTGCCATCTCTAACTTTTATGGGATGTGATTACACTACTTATTTTGTTCTTAGTGTTCTACTATCTCCCATTGATGTAGAGTGTGATCGTGATATTGATTGGTGAGCTATGGATAATGTAGTCCAATTCTTGTAGAATGTTCAAGAATCAAGTTTATGGAAAGACTATGTGTACAAGCTGGAGTGGATTCTAGAGTGTGATGATGAGTTTGATTATTATGGAGATAACTTTAGAGATGAAGTGGAGATTTTATGGGATAGGTGTCAATCTTTCAATCTGCTATTTGATCCTTTTTCTTTCCCTTTTGCTCTTTCCCAACTTTTTCTTATTTTTCAACTTGAGCCACCTTCTTATGTTCTTAGTATTTCTTCCTCATTTGCAATGTTTTCTTCTTTTGACACGTCAATCATTTATGACTCTCATGATACTCATTCTCAGTTCGGTGTTGAGTTGAGTGTTTTCTGTCCTCTTTATACTAATCTGGATGTTAAGTGTGTCCATGAAGTTGAGAATCTTACTTTTGTTTCATTGGCAAAATCTTTGATTAATTCTGGTATTGGGTATTCCTTTGTTCTAAGGGTTGAATCACTTTGGCTAGAGTTTCAGGTTGAATGCATGTCTCTATTTGTGAATGCTATTGAGAGTTTTTGTTTTTATCATTGTTACTGAGGAGTTTATGTATTCCCTTGAGAGTGTGGATGTTACTGTTGATTTTCCCATCTCAAGTGTTGAGTTGTGTGTCAAGGAGGTTGAATGGTATGAATCTTTTGTTTATATTGTGGCGGTTAAAATATTTTTTCAAGCTTTAAGCATATGTCCTTATTTTGATTTCCCTATTTTTGTATTGCCAATTGTTGCAAATTCTTCTTTCAATGCGTTTTTATCCACTTTTTCTTCTTTCACAATTATTTTTCCTCAATTTTTCTCATTTTCTCTTTTTTGCCCTAACACTTAAAAAAAAAATTTCTTCAGAGGAGGGGGTAGAAGGGATGGACGGGAGTTTGGCATAATGAATGAGGACAAGTGAATATGGTAGTGGAGCGAGGACAAACAACATAAATTGTGGAATGAGGATAAACATAGCGACTCCAAATGGAACATTTAACCTCAACATAGTGAAGCCAAATGGATGTGATAGTGGAGTGAGGATGAGAGTAGTGAATCCAAATGGAGTTAGTGCTTCAAAACTTTTTTTCCTTCGAAGAGGGGATAAAGAGGATGAATAGGGTGAGTTCGACCTCTTATGTGTAGTGCTGAACGAGGATGATGGTTTTACTTATGGTTTTAAATCCAAGTTAATGGTGGTCTTGGAGGATTATCGACATATAAACTTAGAGTTGGGATGTATTGCTTGTTACAATGGTGTTTTATAGACTATAGTGACTCTCAAAGCCCTTTGCTTCGATTCAAAATTATGATTGTATAGTTGATTTGAGCATTTGGGAACTATATCCAAAGTTGCAATTAGTTCACCAGGATTCCATAGTTGGTTGATACTTATATGATGGCTTTGGGTTTTATTTCAGTCATGGTGGTTTTGTGAGGGTTTAAGATTCTTGTAGTAATTTATAATCAGCTGACAGAAGCTTTAAATGTTCCACTTTACTTATTATCATAACATTTTCATCTTTCAGAGGGGAGGATGGTGTAAGGTTTGTAAATACATATGTGTATATATATGTATTGCCATTAATTATAGTACTAAAGCATATAGACTGTCTAGGATTGAATCTGGTCCATCCATCCGCATATATAAGCACAATTAAGAAATCTATTCCTATATCTTGAGCACTTATAATATCTAATATTTTTAATAATAAATAATTATTTTTACTTATGCCTAGGAATACATTAATATTCATATTATGAAGTTCACAAGAGTACATTAAGAGTACATTGATATTCACCTAGCATTTGCTAGGTAATACTAGTCTATATATGTGAACTAATGGCCCAGCCTCCCTCCCAGGCCTGGGCCATGGTCAGTTTGCCATAAAACTTTTATGGATGTTTGCTTTGGCCAATTAGAAATCTGTATAGCTTAGGTAACAATTGACTGGAGAGAAATATGTTCTCCTCTGCTTTTGCTCAATTTTTCTCAGAGCGGATAGCAACACATGTCACATTATCCCTCCCTCTGATTTAGCAATTCATAGTGGACCTCCCTTGGTTCAGAGTGCTAGCATCGCAATGGGCAACTCTCCCAAGAGCTACTCCACATCTCCTGGAAAAACTTCAGGCCCTGCTCGACCCATTTCACAGCACTGCACCCCATGATAACTGAGAGGAACATAAATCCATCAAGCTCAAGGCCCTCCTCTAGCAGCTTGCCAAGGATCTCCACCACTTTTGCTGCATTGCCTTGCCTGCTATCAGTGTGTTCCACTAAACCTCATCCTTGGCACGGTAGAATTGAAGATGTGGTGAGCAACAGCTATACTTCCACACTTGCTGTAGAATTGATGACACTGTTTGTGATGCTACTACACTCTTGCAGATCCCAGGATGGAATTCCTTCCGGTTTCCAGATCCAGAAGGCATTTATCTCAAAATCAACAACAAAGTCCTGGGGCTGGGAATGAGACTTGATTGAAGCACTCTGGACCTCCGAGCTAACAGTTCTCTTCTTTTTCACGAGCTAAAGTTCCTATGTAACAGATACTCAAAAGAAATCCCTGATGCTTACAAGCGATTGCTGCTGGATGCCATTGCTGGAGAGTGCTGTCTCTTCATCAGAAGCAGTGAACTGGACACGGCGTGGAAGAATTTCACTCCTCTTCTCAAAGATCTTAAGAGGAAGAAGATGGTGCCCGAGTTATACCCAAACGGAAGCCGGGGTCCCGTGGGATCTCACTATCGTGGGGCAATGTTTAGAAAAGTGCTAATTTTGAAATATTCAAATTTCCACGTGGACGCAATGTAAAGACCACTTGCCAGACCAGCACGGCCGTTTGGCAATGGTGATAAATGCTAGGGCAAGGGGAGCTTTGATTGGAGGTTTTCTTGGAGAATTTTTCTTGTCATGGCATTAGATTAGTCAGAGGAAAGGTTGTTTCTTCAAAAGAGAAGCGAATGACACAGATGCCGACAACAAATGGCTACAGCAATTCTCACTGTTGCATAGCCATGACATGAGTATATAAGTCTTGGGAAAGGTTTCAGAGTCTGGATAGTGAACATTATACATTAGTGGAATATAGTGGAGTTAGTGGATATTCCCACAGGTTTTTACACAAGAGGTTCTTGACTGTTGTAGAAGTCAATAAGTTGTTTCAGGATTTGCTGACCAAGGTATAAAGTTCACAAGTGTATGTGCTTGATGTCTTGATAAGTCCTCTTGCTCAAAAATTCTTGAATTGGTCAAATAAAGATGTAATGAAATAAATAAGGCTTTATTGCAGAAGTAGTACCATAAACAAAGTTGGGTTGCATCAAGATCTGGTACATCACTACTTAAAATAAGAGTAGAAGATGCAAGTACTTAGTTTGCTAAAATAGGCATTCATTGAATCTTCCCTGTTTTGATCATAAGGCATAATTTAAATTTTAACATTGTTAATTATGATGGTTTTTTTATGGTAAGAATAAGTGGAAATTTCTCTCAGCAAATATAAATATTTTTCTAACACACCTCCCAAACTTGAATTTATCTACAGAACTTTGTTATTATCTTGTTTTAGTTGCTTTCTCCCACATTAATAATGACATATATAAAAGCTAGTAGTGAAGAAGGAAAGCCACTCTAGAGTTTTGGATTGCCACTATCAGCAGTGTTATTACTTATATAACTTGCACTTGACTATTAGCATATGTTAATGTTCAGGTGATCTTACAAAGAAGAAGATATTGTTCTATGAGGGACATCTTCCTCAAGTAAGAAAGAATGCATTTTTATTTTCTGTTCACATGGTTTATGTACACTAATTAGAACTTTTCTAAATAGTAAAATTCTCAAATTTCAAATTCTATATAAATACAAGTTCATGTTATAGATAATTCTCAGAAGTAAATTATATGCAAGATTTATGATTAGCAGTATTAGATGCCCATAAAGGATCATTAGGAAATGTTAAAAAATAGATTACTAAATTACAATCATTTTGAATTCTTAAATATGAAGGTACCAAACACTTATTTTTACAATATTTTCTTGTTGACCATAATAATTTTGTATTATAATATAAAACTAAATTAGCTTGATTTTCTAAAATTAAAATACAGTTAAATATTTTTGTTTCTATAGGCCTAACTCTCCAAATTTCTAAATTTTTGTAAAATAAAATTAAATGACAAGACAAAGTCAAATAGAGTATAACCTTAGAGTTTGGAGAAATTAAAAAGTTTTCAGAATAAAGAGCTGAACCATGATATAAATTACTATTAGTAAAATAGCAATTATCTAAATTTTTTATTGTAGTATACTTTTCATAACTAAAATATAAAGAATTAGAATTAGAATTAGAATTATCTACTAAGGCATATCTTATATAATACTTAGGAGATTCATTCTCAAAATAGCTAGATAACTTTTCATTTAAAATAACTAAGTTTTTCTGAAGAATCTTTTCTAGCCCATATATAATATTGTTTCCTTTGATATCTTGTGTAGAACTAGAACATGTTTCCTTACATTTTATAATTATTTCAATATTTCCTAGTGAAGTTAAAATAATTTTTGAATTTGAATAAGTTGCAGGATAAAACTTTCTTAAATGAATTTTTCCAATTAAATTCCATATCCCTTGAATAATTGTTCTCATGTATTCTGGTTGTAGAACACGAAGCTGTCCAAATTTAGGCTTAGCTGTATTAAGGAAAGTAAAATTTAAAGACAGAAGAATTATAATTAAACTTAAAAATTTAATATAGTTTTGAACATTCATTATTTTTATTTTAAAGTAAATCTGTAAATAAAAAGTTTTGAATAAAATAAAATTTATATAAATCAATGACTTAGTTTATATACAAAAGCAAGTAGTCTAGATTGAAACCAATTCGATGGCTACCAAAATCCCACTATATTAATATTGGTATATGGCATTGTAACCATACACTTGAGTCTCACAAAGCTTTATATTTTAATGGATGACAACTTCCAAGGTTATTTAGCCATAAATATATGATAAAATATATCAACAAAATAATAATAAATTTATTCTCTTTGTAATTACGACAAATAATAAAATAAATTTAATTTAAATTTTTGTTTGCTTAAGCGTGTCTGAAGTGGTAATGAATATACCTAGAATATACTTTGATATTCTATAATATTTTCCCATTTAATGATTGTTATTCATTTAGCTTAATCCTGTATTAATATGATAAACCATTTTAAACACTTTGTAGTATATTCTAGTTTCTTCTACCATTTAATAAAGCACTTGAAGACCTCAACTATCTACTGAGATAACTTGCATAACAGCCACCACAAGCCAATTGCTATGCAAGTTAAGCTCTTGTAGAGAGATGGCACTAATAGGGCTCAATTTGAGGAGTTGGCTTAAGTCATTGATAAGTCAATCACTTGTCTCTTTGATTCACTAGAGATGGAAGTGTGGGGCCACTTTGTTGGCTTCCATCTAACAAACTCTCAAGTACAATCATTAATCAAACATCCAAACCAATTGACCAAATAATATAGTCTTCAATACTGGCACTTTGAGTCAAGGATGATAACAACCTCAAAACTTTTACTCACTACTAATAATTTGAGGTGGCCGTGGAATATAAGTGGGATAAAAAAGTGCATAATAATATTCTAATGAAGAAATATAGAATATCAAAAGCAATCCCATGAATGGTGGAAGATTGAGTTACCCTAAAGGTGTGAAAGAGCATAAGAAAAGACTCAATACAAATAACTAAACAAAATGACATGAAAAATGATTTGTAAAGGTTTAAATATAAAGGGAAAAAACCCATGAATAAATGTTTTTCAAAATAGTGAAGGGTCTTGAGATACTTGGGGTTAAATGTCTTTATGTTTGAGTAATACTAACATCTAGAAAAGTCTAAGTTTAAAAGATTATATTTGGTATTAAAAGGGGGTTTGAGTCCAGACCATATGTTAAAATTAATATTTGGTAATCTAGTTTGGTTTGGTTAGGGTTGACTTGAGGGGTAAGGTGTCAAGAGAGCGAGGCTTTCAAGAAAGTTATGACTCTTAACTTCAATTCATGAGGGTATAAACTTGCAAGGAAGTATTGTGAATTATAAACAACTAAAATGAATAACTCAAAAAATGATCTATAAAGATTTAAATATAAAGGGAAATAGCTCATAAACAAAAGATCCCCCTTTTCTAAATTAATAAGGTATACTTGGAATACTTAAGGTAATTAATAATAGTAATCAACATCTTTAGCATAAGAAATGTGATGATAAACTTCCTTATCTAGTAATTTGAATAAACTTATGATGAGAAACATACTTCCAAAAGTTAACATCTCAACAATCATCAAGTATATGCTTCTATACTTCACTTGGCATAGGATTTTGAGATAGTGAAGTATGAGAAATAATAAAAGAGGCTAAGGGAATAATATATTTGGGGTAAACTTTTAGATTTGGACTTTCCAAGAGCCCAATATTACTGAAACCCAAAGACACTTAACCATAAATACCCCAAGACTTTTAACCAATTAGAAAAGGGGGTGCACTCTTATTCATAAACCTTATAAATCATTTCTCAAATTATTCTCTTTGGTTACTTACACCCAAATGGCCCATTGGCAAAGAGTTAATGCCAACCTAGAGAGTATTAAACTAACTAGGATCAGAATTATGTACCTGGGCAGCCCATTGGGCAAGGAGTCAATGCTAACCTAGAGAGCATTAAAGCAACTAGGATCGGAATTATGCCAACTATTAAAGAAATGGATCTTTACTTGAGGTCTTAAAACCATAGCTTGCAAACCCCATTCACCTTTCACAGCTCAAGCATCATTATATTCTCCAAAACTTTGACAAGTTTCCCATTGTCACAAATGTGACTTCAGGTATTGAAAGATATTTGTCAGCCAATCTTTATGGGCACTTTTTCCTTACTGCCATGACGGCAGGAGGTTGGTATTGCTAATTTGTTTTATTAGCCCCTCTTGTCCATTGTATATTTGGTATTAGAGGAATTGTCTTAGTAATTCCTATCCAACTTTTGTCAGATTTTCTAACTCAAGTTGCATATGCAGAGAATTTTTTAGTAGATCCAAAGCGACCTGTGTAAGATTAGTTGGATTGCACCATTCAGTAAGAACATTGTATGCATATTCAGTTACTAATAGAGGCATGTATATAGCTAGCAAAATGGTGAAAAGGAACCATGCTGATGATGTTGAAACCTCTAGAGGGGAAAATCAAGAGGAGGAAACTCTTGCTAGAGATGCTGCGGAAAGGGCTAAGGTTGAGTCAAAAGAGAAAGACCCAGATGCTACGGCACTACAGCATACAGCTCAGGAAGTCAAGATCAAGAATTTGTGAAGGGAAGTTCGCAAATTGAAGAAGGAGAACAAGAAGAGGAAGAAAGAAGTTGAGGCAACTAAATCAATTAAATCTAAGCAACCAGACTCCTCTTCAAGTTTTAAGGACGATGAAGTTCTACAATCGCCCCCAGTTGCACGAGTTTCAAAGTTCAAGCCTCTAAAACCACCCAGTTTTAGAGGCATGTGGGACTATTAGGTTTTGGAAGACTAGGTC